ATTGGGCATCAGAAGATGATTTTCTGAAGAGGGAAGATAATATCATTGAGTGCTCCTATGTTGAGATTTTTTCTGGTTTCATGCAGTCCACATAGGTGAGAGTAAATAATTCTATCTAAATTATTATTATTATTTTTTGAGACAGAGTCTCACTGTGTCACCCAGGCTGGAGTGCAGTGGCGTGATCTCCGCTCACTGCAACCTCCACCTCCTGGGTTCAAGTGATTCTCTCCCAGTCTCTGAGTAGCTGGGACTACAGGTGCACCCCACCATGCCCAGCTAATTTTTTTTTTTTTTTGGTATTTGTGATAGAGACAGGGTTTCACCATGTTGGCCATGCTGGTCTTGAACTCCTGATCTCAGGAGATCCACCCACCTTGGCATCCCAAAGTGCTGGGATTACAGGCATGAGCCACCCAGCCCGGCCTAGCTAGATTATACTTTGTTTACAGATAGTTGATAAACTGTAGCCCACAGTGGCCCTGCTGTTGGAGGGCTGATTTGTGAGAGATATAGAACTAGGTCTAGATGTTCTGTAGCAGGAGCCATCTCTCTATGTTTAGGATACTCAGAGATGTGAAAGCTTTATGATGGCATTGTTGTACTGTCATGTTAGGGTGTAAGTCATCTGCATTTCTCAAGTGGAAGCTCATGCCAGTTATAATGCTGCTCTCAAACCTAACAAAGATATATGAGGAGGGGTTGGTATGTTTTCAAAGAATGCATTTCTGTCTTTATCATTATATTAAGATAATCCCATAATAGACCTATTTTAGAATGCACTTATACATTTAAGGTTTATTCTTATATTTTAGCTACTTGATGTTTGAGTAATTCTGGATGGAAGAAAGACCGAGTTAATAAGATAAAAGACTGATAGCTGGGGCTGGGCATGGTGGCTTACCAGGCGCCGAGGCAGGTGGATCGCCTGAGGTCAGGAGTTCAAGACCAGCCTGGCTAACATAGTGAAACACCGTCTCTACTAAAAATACAAAAAAATTAGCTGGGTGTGGTGGTGGGTGCCTGTAATCCCAGCTACTCGGGAAGCTGAGGCTGTGAGCCAACATCACGCCATTGCACTCCAGCCTGGGCAACAAGAGCAAAATTCTGTCTCAAAAAAAAAAAAAAAAAAAAAAAAGAATACTGAGATGGGTTTCTTGGCAGATTTCAGAGAGTGCAGATTAGAAGCTTAATTTTTTGGTGGCAAGTGCCTTAACTTTGTATTAAGGGATTTATTCCTTTTAAAGTAGTTTACATGTGTTAATTTAATTCTTATAATAACTACATAATAACCATCTCTATTTGGAGCAGAGAAAACAGGGACTGCTTATTTATTGGTTACTTCAAGAAAGTTTTATTTCAGTGTTTTCTTTAACACATGTAACCTGTCTGCTAACTTTCTATACATGTTTATTTTGAAGGGAACTATCGTTTTATACAGTTGCTTTTTAGTTACAACTTTATCAAAAAAGTAATAGAAATAGCATGTTTTAGTCAAGGACAATAGGTATATGTGTATCCGTGTAGTGCATATATTTTTAAGTATTTATAGAGTGTAAGAGTGTAATAGTAGCTCTGTATAGTAACAGTCATTGTATGTTTTTTAACCTTTCTAAGATTTCATTCCTGTACAACCAAGCTCTGTGAAATTATTATGGCCAAAATACCAATGTTTGTCTTTCACCTAATTTATCTGCACTTCATAAAAATGCTTAAATATTACTTCATCATCCTTAAATTTGCTGTGCAGTATGTGAAGTCTATGAACTAGTTCTTGAATATTTATGAAGTAATTCTGATTTTTTTTTTAGGTGTTACAGGCTCTTAGGAATATTTAGCTTAATTTGGAATAGGAATCTCTATTATTTGTGTGATTTTTCATTTTTGAAAACCAAGTTAAGAGTAAATCCATCTATGTATAATCCAGTTACACTGACATCAGTTTTTGTATCTTTCTATAGGAGTTTGGTTAGGCATAACAGTTCTCATGCTTCACAATATCCTGATTGAAATGCTAGGAAAAATGCTTTACAGATAATGCATAGCATTGTGTATACGTTACTTATCCCCTGTATAAAATTCTGTTTTACAGAATGCATGGGTAGTATCAGCAGTTGCAGTTTATAAAAAAGAACTAATGAAAAATACCCTTAAGAGAGTAGGTTGTAAGCATTCTCGCCAGAAATAAATGATTCTGTGAGGTAATGTATACGTTAATTAGCTTGATTTCTGCAGTCGGTGCCTGTGTCAAAACATCGTGCTGTATACCATAAATATAGATAATCTTTATTCATTAAAATAACTAAAATGTAAAAAAGAGACATAACTGTCCCTCAAAGGTTAGACAGTGAAATAGGATGAAAGTCCCAATTTGATTATTTACCAGAAGCAATTATCCTTATTTGGTAGGCCTGATGGAGACAGTCACTTTATGCCTTACTTGGGCTAGGGAAAAAAGTGTGTAAAAATTCCAGAATTTTAAAACAAAGAATAAGGGCAAAAAGTACTGGCATATGTCTCTCAATAAAAACTCAGTATTTCCAAAAAATAATCTTAAAAGAATACCCTTTCTTTACTTTTCTGTTATTGTTGAGGAAAGTTATTTTACAGTTTGTTTATTTGTATGAGATTTGTTTGCTTTTTACAGGTATAAGATCAGTATTTTAAAATACACATACCAAATCCATGTAGTATAATAGTGGTGATAAGCTGTCAGTTGACAGTTGAGCAAGATAGAACTTAAATCTTTTATACTGGCATAGTGTTAGCCTTAGGTAGTTTACGTTTCTCCTTAAGCAGATTTGTGCCTGTAAATAGTTTGCTTCAGAATGAATGGGGCAGGTATTTGGTGGATAATGATCCCCTGGGGTGGGATGCTGTTAGACCGTTAGCATAATGTGGAATATTGTTAGGTGTGCGGGTCTTGGATAGTTCCCAGATTGCTCCATCGGAATCTGCATTGAAACAAATTCTCCTGATGATTTGTGTGCACATTAAAATTTGAGAAGCCTTCCTAAAGAAGACATCAAATTTGGCATCTGGGGAACTAACACTTCTCTACTCGAGATTGCAAGAATATAAAGATTTAGAAATTATTTATTAGAATTATAAAACAAATATTCCTCTTAAAAGTATATTTCTCTTTAAGATTATCCATCTTTTCTGGAATAAAATGTTTTTAATGCATTTCTGTACTGCTGTTCTTAATCTTACCTAGCAGAGAAGATAGACTTTGCTTTGTCCAACCTGAACGAGCGAGTCTGGTTATTGTTAAGTCTTCCCTAAGATAGCGGCAGCATCTGGATTTGCATGAAGTCAAATCTTGTGAAACGGAGGTAGAAAACTGGCCCTGACACTGGGATGGCATTGCATGGTATTCACTATTGGGCATGTTTTGTAACACCAGGGATACAGATATCCTGCATCCTAATTAAAAAATAAGTATGTCCTGAGTGTCTATTGAATTCAGTGTGATATGGAGTGGATCAAACCCTTCCTCAGGGAGTGTATGGCCAGGTTAGGAAGTATTCTTGAAGGGCACATGCCTTGAGCAGAGCTATGGCATTCTGAGATATGATCATGTGGATCCATAGTCTAGACTTTCTCCAGCTGTGGTTAAAAGAGGGATTAGGCATATAGCATTCTTTTCAGCCAGTTCAGCATTTCCTATCAAAGTAAGTACTGTCATAGTATATCAGTATATTTAAGGGAAATTAGAATTTAGAGCAAGAAATATAAATTCTAGATGTAAGTATCTTTTCCTAACAGACTTAATGTAAAATTTTGTTGTGGCACACTCTACTCCTGAGTTTTCCAGTTTGCTTTAGGGAAAAATATCTTGTTTGAATTCTGCTTCCAGTATTAGAAACTCTTCAATGTTGCTCAGCTTCTGAGATGGCCCCAGGAACTCATTGGCTTTTCTGGTGATTGCTTTAGTGTGTCATTTTGCTTCTTGTGGATCTCTTAGTACCAACCAAGTCCTGCTCAGTAGTGTGAGCAATAAACCACACAAGATGGGGAGCTGTTCATGTTGAACCCTGCGTTGGGCCTGGCTCTTACATGCATACTGGTGGTGGGGGTAAGGGTGGGATCTAGAGTTGAGGGGCAAGGTTTGAAAACCAATGTCCTAGCATAAGAACACTACCATGACTACTATTAACCTAAAAACCTACCTTAAGCCCCCTTTTTAATATGTGAGACTTCTTCTTCCCTGAATTTTTTTCTTGCCTCCCTTAAACATTATTTCTATCCAATAGTGTAGTGTTTGTCTCTCTTGCACAGGTGACCAGAAACTTTGGAGGTAGGAGACAGCTGCTCATAGTCACTAAATGTCACTAAGTGCCTTAAACATGTGGAACCTGGAACAAAACATCGAAACACAAAGATGCCTTCCAAGAACATACACTTTTCTGCCATACAGTTGGCAAGCATCTTACTGTTACAGGAGAGAAGGGAGCTTGCCATGAAGTTTCTCACAAACAAAGAACTCTAAGAGAAAAATGATAGTGTGGTATACTTTAAGATTGTAAATGCCATTTTCTTAATTTATTGTGTGGAATGTATTTCTATTAGATGTTTGTGTATAATACTTAAAGAAATACTAACAAGGGTATTTATTGGTTCATTTATGCCACAGATCTTTTCCTCTACACATTCTCAAACATGAACTTAATTCTTGAGAATGAAGAGACACTGCTGTATACTGTAATTTATATTAAATTGTGATATGTCCTCCATTAAAAAGACAATATAGCCTTATTATTAGAGAAAAGCAACAGGACACCTTTTGTTCGGGATTTCTCTGTGGAAAATACATTTTGACTTAAATAGGATTTAAATGGCAACTTGTTAATTGATAATTTTAGCAGATTGCTCAATGTTCCACTTAGGGATTAGTTTAGATTGTGTTGTGTCATGATTGTACAGAAAAGTGCTATATAGTCATATCAGATTGTCCCACGCCATGCCTAGTGAATACTTGTGCCACTTTTGCTCTACAGGAAAATGACTCAGGCACTTTGGACACGGTGGGCGCTGTGGTTGTGGACCACGAAGGGAATGTTGCTGCTGCTGTCTCCAGTGGAGGCTTGGCCTTGAAACATCCGGGGAGAGTTGGGCAGGTAAGTAATTACGGGTTTTTTAAACTAGCCTTTCAAAGTAAAGCATGGAATTTTTAGCTCACAATTTTTTAACCAGTGGGAACATTTTTTCTTTAGAAAAAAATGAATATAATTGTTTTTTAACATCTAGTATAAATCATCAACCAAATACCTTTTTAAGATTCTTTTTAAGAAAACCTATCTCATAGTAATTGGTTTGTTTCTCATCTTTAGAATGGGTGATCCTAGTTTTGCCACTTTCAGCAGGCTGGGCACTGGCCTGGGTATTTAGTAGAAATTTCATAAATGTGTGCCAGTTTCCATTTGCTCTCTGTAAATATCACTCTCTTTAGGAACAAGCTCTACTTGACTATCCTGCTTGCTTTTTAGTTGGATAAATGATTTTAGAGTTACATTTTTTATTTTCTCTATTCCATGTATAGTGACATTTGGCCCTTTACATCCCTCCTCTGTTCAAGCATTTCAGCCATTTTATAAAATAACCAGTATTTCAGGTCACCAACACATGGTATCACTTAAAAAATCTAGAAAGGAGATTGCTCTAATTTATGTAAAATTTGCTTGTCCTCAGTTCATTTGCACATCCTCTTCACTTTGCCCCTCCTGCCGTCTCTGATCTTTGGTTTTATACTGAGAATGAAATTTAACAATCCATTTGATCTAGGAAGATTTCTGAGGATAAACCAATTTTGGCACATTACTTGTGGGCTTAATAAATATTTGTTGAGTGAACAAATGAATTGGATACTCTCATGGACTAGTTGCAAGGGTTCATTTAAACTCAGTATTTAGGTGGCATCTTATACATGGAATGTGTCTTGTTATGCTTTGTGTACTTTGTCACATTTGAAGAAGAGTCAATGTCACAGTTACTTTGTTCATGACGGTTAGTTACTATTTGAAGCAGAGAGATCCAATTCATGGAGAATATCACTGCACACCCCGAAGTGATGTTGCTTGATCTGCTCTAAGCTGCTTCCATTCCTAGACTAGGAAAAAGGGGAAGGGAAGAATAATGAGTTTTGTGCTACTCTGCCTAGTGTACAAGGGGCTGTATAGGGAATGATTACTCCATGTGTGTACAGTGCTTTGAACTCATTATAAAAGCCTTTGTCTGGTCATGGTATTTTTCTTACATTATAAAGTCCTGTGTATTTGTCAAGTTTGCAATAGGAAAATCAAACTTGGCATATCAGATTTAGATACCCTAGTAGAAAAGGTGAGAGAAAAGCCAGCAGAGTCACCTTTGATGCATTATAGTCCCCATGACTTTCTCACTGTTTTCTGTTTGTTTTGGTTAGCAAAATAGCAACAACAGAACTAAGGATGGTTCTGGACTATGTTAGCAGGATATTATGTCTAACAGTCTTGAAGCTATTCTGCCCCTGCACTTAGAACTGTCCTGAGCAAAAGAAATACTTCTGTAAAATTTATGTGTTGATTTGCCTCACTTGGCTAGTTTATGAATACCTAGCTTCTGAGAGTTATAAAATCAGGAAAGAGTGTGAAAAAAGAGTAAAAGGGCTTATAGGAAAATGCAGTTGCTTAATTGGTTTATAATGCTTGGATAGAGGAGATGTAATAAACTTGAAACTATGTAAGTATCAGATGAGAGGTAAAGAACAGTTCTTTTTGACAAGCCCAAATGAAACAAAATACAAAAGTAAGTTATATCAAAGGCTAATTATTTTTTAAAGTGTGCTGAAACTAGATACTTTTAATGTATGTTAAATGCACAATTAACTACTTAAAAATTTTAGCATATTACCCTGCTGTAGATATATGATAGCAGTGCAGATGGTGAATGGCAATTTGAGGCCAGGCGCAGTGGCTCACTCCTGTAATCCCAGCACTTTGGGAGGCCGAGGTGGGCAGATCAGTTGAGTTCTGGAGTTCAAGACCAACCTGGCCAACATGGTGAAACCTCATAGAGAAAGAGAAGTAGAGAAGGTGAGAGAAAAGCCAGCAGAGTCACCTTCAATGCATTGTAGTCCCATGACTTTCTCACTGTTTTCTGTAATTTCAGCACTTTGGTTCATGCCATCTCTACTAAAAATACAAAAATTAGGCCAGGTGCAGTGGCTCATCCTGTAATTCCCAGCACTTTGGGAGGCCAATGCGGGTAGATCACTTGAAGTCAGGAGTTCAAGACCAGCCTGGCCAACATGATGAAACCCGTCTCTACTAAAAAATACAAAAATTAGCTGGGTATGGTGGTGCAAGCCTGTAATCCCAGCTACTTGGGGGGCTGAGACAGGAGAATCGCTTGAACCTGGGAGGCGGAGGTTGCAGGGAGCTGAGATCTCACTATTGCACTCCAGTGTGGGTGAGACTGAGACTCCGTGTCAAAACAAAACAAAAATTATCTGAGCATGATGGCTGACACCTGTAATCCCAGCTACTTGGGGAGGCTGAGGCAGGAGAATTGCTTGAACCTGGGAGGCTGAGGTTGCAGTGAGCCAAACATGCCACTGCACTCCACCCTGGGAGACAGAGCAAGACTCTGTCTCAAAAAAAAGATAAGAAATGGGAATTTGAATTAGAACTTATTTGCTTCTTTAGCTTACTGTAATTATTTGAATTTACAGTTTGGACATGAGAAAGGAATTATTATATTTCACTTGTCCCCCTAAACTTCACCCCACCCCCAGACAAATAGGCGGTTGAGTTTACTGGTTAAGTGTGGACTTTCGATCCAGGTAAACCTCTATTCTAATCCCACCTCCCCACTTACCACGCCCCTTACTTTGAACAAGTTACTTAACATCTTTCAGCTCCACTTTCTACTTCTGTAAAATGGGGATAACCAGCTACCTTACAAACTTGTAGAAGATTCAATGTCAAAATGCATTTAAATTATATATTATAGCCCTTAGTAATAATAGCTAGAGCTAGTGTTAATTAAGCACTTGCTGTGTTCAGCAAGTATGTTAATTCACATGATCCTGTGACAATATGAGGTAGATATTTTCATTATTCTTATTGTATAGAAGAGGAAACTATGGCCCAGAGAAGATTAATAATAATATCATTTATATGACCTTATTTTACTGCATAATAACTTTAATAAAATTTTAATACAGTTTTACTACCAAAAAGAAATAAGATTTTAAAAATTTGTTTTTAAAGGCTTGCTTAAGCTTGCCGTATTTTATCCAAACAAGTGGATAACAGATGGACAACCTCTAATTCTTTTATCTTACCTATCACTGTCTTAGCCCAGTGAATTTCAGAAGGTTAAGAAGGAAGACAGTTTTAGGTCTTGAGACTAAGGAAGAGCATCATAAAGGGAATTTTCTTAAAGGGAAGGAACAAAGGGTAAGTATAAATGTTCTTTTCTAGAAAGATGACCTTCCCTGGCTTTCTAAGAGGTGTCCTTGGGACCTTATTTACTATTTTTTGAGTGCAGGCTCCTGGTCATGTTAATTGTGGGAAATGTAAAAGATGATGATGATGGGCAGTTCAGAGTTTTCAATGAAGGAAGAATGGGTCCTTCCATTGATTTCTTGTGTTCTCTGAGACTTCGGCTGATCCAGCCCTTGCTTTAGGGAGTACCAGTTGAATAGTTATCCCACAGGTCTGCTAGTTTATTTATAAATTCATATTCTAAATCACTTCTGAAGGGCTTTCAGTTGCCACACTGACCCTGAGCCAGCATGTATTTTAGAAGCATGGTGTTTTCAGAGGCAGTAAACAGATTTCCCACTGTCTACCATATTGAGAGTATCCTGCTCAGTTCTTGGTTCTACTTTTAAGAGGGGTATTTCAGTAACATCTGGAGACAGCAACTGTGGGTCACATGAACATGGGAGACTTCATCTCTGGTTATCCTGGACACTGACTTATTTCTCTAGGAGGGTAATTATGAGAGAGTGGTGGGTTTGTGCATCGCAAAGTCTTGGGAACAGCTCACAAATTTGGGTTTCTTTGGGTTAGAAAAGAGAACTAGAATAGCTGTTTTTAAAAAATTAGAGGACTTTCTGGGGAGGTTACAATACTTCCAGAGATCAGAGCCAGGACCAGTGGTTGGAAGTTGTGATACAGCAGATATTTGTTACCAGTGGAAAGTGTCCGAAAATGGAATGTGTTCCCACATGGGGTAGGGAGGTTCTCAGTGTCAGAAGTGCCTCGGATGTTTCATGGAGATTCCTGCTCTGGGTAGAATATTGGAGCTAATGATTTCTAAGATCCTTGTAAAAAATAACAGAATATCATAGAAAGCTGAAGTCTGCTCACCATCCCCAGTCTTAGCCTATTCCCCAGTCCTCAGAATGAACTCCTAGGAAATATCAGTACTGCTTTATGGGAGTATCTTTTTCCTCCATCAATGGCAGGGAATACTGAATGTATTTTAGTTTGCTTTTTTTTCAATTCAACAATATGTTTGGGAGATCTTTCTGTATTTTGTTCTTAAAGATTTTTTTAAAAAGCTTAATTCTTTTATTTTTAACCTTTGCAATGAATTCCACATACTGCCATGCCAGGGTTTATTTAGCCATTTCCTTACTGATTGACATTTAGGTTGTTTCAAGTTTCTTATTCTTATCAACCATGTAGTAATGAACTGTTGAGCGTGCCTCCTTGTATTTTTCTATGATAGCTAGCTAGCTAGGTTTTTTTTTTTTTTAAATTTTAATTTCTACTTCTTACTATGGAGTGGAAAAGTTGTTAGTTGTGAATTCCCTCCCAAAGTCAGAAAAGTCATTGTGGATATCGAAGAGAAGTAGCATTATTAAAACAAAATAGGAATGATCGTCCTAATCTTTTATAAAACCATAGTAGCTTATTGTGTTCCTGATGGTTTCAGATGTATAAATCTGCTCTACCACCTAACAAAGTGATGAGCTTGAACAAAAGAAAGGAGGCTTTTTTGCCTCCTTTCTTTTCATCTGGCTGACTCTAGCACAATGGTGAGTGTATATTGGACCCTTTGATACAGGACTGTTTGTACTTCCTCTTGTGCCAGTTCGCCACAGACATGGAAAAGGCCCTCTTGAAGCAGGATTTCCTAGAGCATGGCAGGAGGACCAGCTGCATCCCAGTACCCCATGACCCTGGTTAACAGTACTGATTCCCAGGTCTTCCCAGACACTAAATCAGAATTCCCATGATAAGAATTCTGGGTTCTTATGAGTAAACTCCCCCAGTAACCTGACACACACCTAGTTTGAAAACTACTATTTTAAGCCAACCACATTGGTTTTAAGGGGCCAGAAGAACAACTAGCTGACAAATTACAAAAGGGAGAAGTTTTTCAGGGAAGGAAAAAATTACTGCTGATGACACTAAGAGACTTTCTTTTGCTATTTTCTGAAAGTTTTTAGATGAATGGAATATCTGAAAACATAGTTTTGATAATATTAAAAGCATCGTGCGGGTGGGTCATATACAACATCTGGTATTATCACCTAGTTGTTTTATATCATTATTAAACCAGGCTTTATTAGATGGGTATGATTTCTGTTGAAAACTAATAATTACATATGATATTTCTGAAATATTATATCTATTTTCTTTTTTCCCCAGGCTGCTCTTTATGGATGTGGCTGCTGGGCTGAAAATACTGGAGCTCATAACCCCTACTCCACAGCTGTGAGTACCTCAGGTATTTGCTGCTTTCATAACCATTTCTCATAACTTCAACCTTGTCAACCATTTAATGATTAAAAGCAATATTTATAGGTAAACATAGAGCATGTGCTATGACAGTGTATGGATGTGGGAAAGATCTTCAGTATTTGGGAGGTTTTAAGGGTTGTTTAGTATCACAGTGTAAATACTATACTTTGCTAACATTTTCTTTTCTTTTCTTTTTTTTTTTTTTTTGAGTCAGAGTCTCACTCTGTCCCCAGGCTGGAGCAGTGGTGTGATCTTGGCTCACTACAACTTCTGCCTCCTGGGTTAAAGTGATTCTCAGCCTTCCAAGTAGTTGGGATCGTAGGTGTGCACCACCACACCCAGCTAATTTTTTGTATTTTTAGTAGGGATAGGGTTTTGCCATGTTGGCCAGGGTGGTCTTGAACTCTTGACCTCTAGTGATCCGCCCTCCTTGGCCTCCCAAAGTGGTTGGATTACAGGCGTAAGCCACTGCGCCCGGCCCACTAATATTTTCAGTACAACTCTGAAGTTAACTATGGTTAATTATATTTTTATAGATATTTTTTCTAATGATCCATGATGCTGCCAAGGTTAGACAACAAAAGACATAAAAGTAGCAGGTCATTTCAAAAATTAACAGATAATCTCTTGGGTAAAATGTTGATGTAAAACTTACAAGGTGCATTTCCAAATATATAGTTTATGACATTCAGTTCTTGAATGACGCTTTCATTGTAATACAGGTCCTCTTTTTATATCTGTATTGTAAAGGCATTATTTATTACAAAGTGTGTGTGTGTGTGTGTGTATGTGTGTGCAGGAGATGGGGAACACGAGAGTTTTAATAGGCAGAATGGTTGTTGTCTATTTCCATACTTTAATCATACCTGTGCCAGATGTACATAAAGCCTTTTCTCATTATGTGGTGATACCTCTGGTTGACAAAATATTGATTCATTCCTGTTTCATGTTATCCCTCAAGTTACAGTCCTATTCCTGTCTCTCTAACAGTCTCAGGCTTTATTGGGAGAGTGGACAAAGATGGCTTCTTTTCCTACCTTTCTGTCTCCAATTTCTTATCACAATGGTCTCTGCCCCACTACACCAACAAAGCACCCAGTCCAGTAGCCCTCTTATCCTGCTTTCTGCCTACTCTTTCTGTGATCTCTGATGCAGGTGACTTTTCTTTTTGCATGTAGCATAGATCCTGGAACCCTCTTGGTTTGTCTGCCTCTCTGACCTGTTCCATCTTGGCCTTCTTCACAGATTCTTACTCCTCTGTCCTCCCATTGCCAACAGCCCCAGGGTTGGGTCTTTGGTGAATTCTGTGCTTTCTCCTGCTGATTTCTTGTTATTTCTGCTGTTCTCATGATTTCAGCTTGTCTCTCTCGGGATTGGCTTCCATGTCTGTATCTACTTTGGACTTTTGAGGTGCAGTGAGTCCTTTCTGACTTCCTGGTGGACATGTTCCTATAGGTGCTATGTATACATATCAGACTTACCAGGTTCAACAGAACATTTCGTTCTTCATCCACACCCTGTGCCACCTTTCTCCTGTGTCCTCTATCTCTTTTATTGCTCTTATTCTCCTATCCTTTGCTCAGAGTTGAAATCTTGGCACCATTCTCATATTTGTGGTTTCTTTCTGTTTCTTCTTTCCTGACTCTGTTCTTTCAGACTCATGTTCCTATGCCTGCTTATCTTAGCAGCATCCTGACCTAGCTCCATTTCTTGCATCAGTGGAAAAACGTGGTTGTGAGCTATTGGCCTATCAGGAGAAGTCTAAAGATGTATTAAGATTGAATCGAATCCATACTACTTTAATGGTCAAAAAATTGTTTTTAGTCATTTTTTGAAGAAATGAGCATAATGTAATAATATGAGTTAATTTTTAAATTTAATTTAATATTCATGGCACATGAAAACCTTGATGCATAATGTTTACAAATTAGGCTGTGAACATAATTTAGTATGGCCCTGTGTCTATGGAAAATTGTAGTGTTTGAACAAACCAAAGACAAATTCATCGTTTCATTTGGATTTTCCCAAAGAAATCTCAGTTGGAATCATGTATTATGAGAGTTTTGTTTTTGGTCAATATGTTGTTCAGTGAGATAGGTTATTGTTTAGACATTACTTTCATATCTAGATGTTAGGAGAATTGGATTCTATTCTAAACTGAAATCCTGAGAGCCTGCCTGCTTGTGTCAATTTGGAAAAGAGATTTCCAAGTCCACCACTCCCCTACTCTTATTTTAAAATAGGTGATGTGCAAGTTGGAATAAGAACATACTCCATGGATTTGATTCTATTAAGTAGAACGCAAATAATGGGTAGGTAAAGTTAAAATTGTAAAATTAGGTTTTTCTCTATTCCTTTTGAATATTTCCTCCTTTGCCTATCCTGTGTCAGTTGAAGATAGTTTCATATGACTAAAGATACCTTTAGCTTTCCAGTTCATGACATCCAGTGTAGCTTTTTAACTTAGATACCCAGCTTGTCATGTTATACGCTTCCCAAGCTAAAACACTAACCTTCATCAGCCCACAGAACCTGGGGATAATAGACTAAATCTCCAGTCCCTCCTGTCCATTGGAGTTTGTGTGATTGCTTTACTCTTGTTTCTCATGGGGCTGTTGCTAAGAAGTTGACAATGGAAACACATGGCAGAGTTGGGTGATCAAGTCAGAAGAAAGGTGGAGCACTGGATTTTGCAACTGTTTGGCCAAAATAGAGAAGACTTGTGCCTTAGGCTGCTGCAGAAAATCCATTTTAGGTTTATATATATTAGAAGGTGGTAATTGAAAGGCGGAGAAAAGATAGTTAGTTATGGTTAGGATAGGGCTCTCCCAAGGCCAGATGGGTGATTTGGTCATTAGCCTGAGGGATAAACTCTAGCATCTTGTTCTCATCACTGGGTGGGGAGAAATGAGTAGGGACTGGAGGAGAGGGGGTGGAGTAGCAGGAGCTGACCTTTCAAACTCTGACTAATGTTCTGGCATCATAGGAATTTGCCTAGCTAGGGATAGAGTAGAGCAGACACAGGGGTTCCTGTCCAGACTCTTCCAGACCCACTAGCTGTGGAGCCTGGGCAAGGGGTTATTTGTAAAACCAGAATAATATCTACCATTACTCTAAGGGGTAAGTAAGTTGACATACACAAGGCTTTTAGTGCATTTCTTTTCCCAGAGTAGGGGCTCAATACTTACTGTATTCCACTGAATCTGAGTCATCATTCTTTATCAGATACACCATTGTTTTTATACCACTAAGGAAACAAAAGACTGTCAATTAAAGTATAACACACTGCCTTGTCATCACTTAATGCATGGTGGTTGCTTTACAGGAAAATATAGAATTAGGAATGTTCCACTAGTGAGAAGTATTTGCTTCACTGATAACAAAGTCATGCCTCATTGCCATTTCCATACCTTTCTATGTGTACAATTATTTTTAATTTGAATTCTATATCATACTGTAATCCTTCTGAATACATTTTGAACAACAGTTTAACTCAACACATGTAGTTCCAACATGGCACATAACTGAAGGGTCAACACTTGCAAACCGCTTGCATCTAGAGGCAGTGGCAGCTCTGTCACCACTGCAGCCTGGAGGATAACATGGGAGGATGCATCAGTTATAACACACCTCCTGAATCCAGAAGTTTAAAAATGTGAAAAAAGTATATTTTAGAATTGATAAATTATAGTAAAAGCTTTTCTTATTCTCAGCTTTTTCTTGAAAATAAATAATTTGTTTCAGACTCTCTTGAGGCAGTAAGATAAACTCTTAAGGAAAGGAGGGCTGTGGGTATATTTGTGTCTCCTGAGTGCCTGACACACAGCCTTGTACAGGGTGAGTGCCCAGTATACAAATAAAAATTAACAAATGTATGTGTGGGTCCTTCCTCTGAGAAGAATGCTTACTTTTTCAAACAGATTATTCACCATGGACTTTCTTTAAATAGGATTTTAAAATGTGATTCAATTTGCCAAATTTGGATTCACACATAATTTTTCAGTAACACAGCAAATGCATAATGTAAGATATATCTGGAATCTGTCTCTGGCTGTGGAAAGGAGGAGCAGATTGAAGATTAGAAGATCAGAAGGAGGGGAAAAATGCAAGAGATAAGTTTATGCTTTGGTTTACCTTAACATTGCTTTTCTGTTACTTGTCCATACAGTTCTTTTTTCTTTCCTGTTTTTTTTTTTTTTTCTTTAAAAAAAAAAACCAAAAACCTCCTTTGCCTATCCTGTGTCAGTTAGAGAAAAAAAAAAAAAAAACCCTCTGTCGCCTAGGCTGGAGTAAATGCAGTGGTGTGATCATGGCTCGTTGCAACCTTGGACTTCTGGGCTCAAGTGATCCTCCTGCCTCAGCCTTCCAAGTAGGTAGGACTACAGGTGCACATCATCACACCTGGCTAATTTTTAATTTTTTTGTAGAGACAGGGTCTTGCTGTGTTGTCCAGGCTGGTCTTGAACTCCTGGGCTCAAGTGATCCTCCCACCTTGGCCTCAAAAAGTGCTGGAAACAGTGAGTACAGGGGCACTGATGGCAATTGACTAAGATCAGAAGATGTAGGTGTCATTCCCCCTCCTTAAAGTGTTCTGGCATGAAGAAAGACCTGCTACCTTGTTTCTGCTGTGAGGCCAAAGGATTTCTGATTTTCTCAGTTCTTTGCTTTTCAAGGTCTTCACTCTGGGCGTTTCTAGAAACCTGAGGGCCGAGAGGGCTGTGGTCAGGACTTGCCAGGAGTAGCTTCAAAAGTAGATGGAATTAAAAAAATACAAAAATTGAGAACAGCCTTATGCCTCAATATTTCTGAGCTAGTGATTAGTTTCTTCCTCAGGGGCTAGGAGAATATGCCATTCCTTTTTGATTTCTTAACTTAATGAACAGCCAGAGGTCTTCCTCTGCCCCTCTGTGGGAGATTGTCTATGGGACTGTGTTAGAAAACTCGTGCCCGGGGACCTGTGTCAGGAGGGCACAAGACAGCCTTCTC